AAGGATTCTGTCTGCCACTCCTTTCCTATTTGCCCCTGTTGTATGTATATTTTATCATTCAATATTTTATCAGCTCAATATTTACATGGTCCCTGCACTGAGACCAGTCAGGTCCTAGGGGTGTTCAAGGGGATATTACAGTGCCATGCCTCTCATGTCGCTAGTCCTGAGTGAACCTCTGCCCCAACCCTTCCCTGTCTTTGAATCTTGCACTTGACTCCAAATTCACATGTTTTGTTTAGCAACAAAAAAGAATGTATTTTGGTGGTTGAGGGGGTGGTGGTTAGACTTCCTTTAGCTCAATTATATCATTATTTTTATTTATTTATTTACCACTCACCCTTCACACTAAGATACCAGGGTGGGTTACACCATTAAAACACAATATTAAAAACAATTTAAAACAACATAAAAATTAAATGGGTCTCAAAAACATAACCTCAAGTGTCATAAAGCCAGAATGAAAAGGTGCGTCTTAAGCATTTGCCAGAATGAAGATGCCAGATACATCTCTGTTGGGAGGGGGTTCCACAGATTAGGGGCTACCCCAGAGAAGGCCATCCCCTTCTCCGAGCCTCTGAGGGCAGAGGAACTGCCAAGAGGGTTCTCTCTGCTTATCTTGGCACCTGGGAGGTTCTGTAGGGCCTCCAATGTTGCTAGTCCTGTGTGAGATTTTGTCCCAACTGCTTCCTGTCTCTTGGACATACGTGAGGCTGATGTCCCTCCTCATTTTGCTCAACAATCCCCTTCCTGAGGACTCTCTTTCCCCCTTAAGGTAAAGGTAAAGGGACCCCTGACCATTAGGTCCAGTCATGACCGACTCTGGGGTTGTGGAGCTCATCTCGCTTTATTGGCCGAGGGAGCCGGCGTACAGCTTCCAGGTCATGTGGCCAGCATGACCAAGCCACTTCTGGCAAACCAGAGCAGCGCACGGAAATGCTGTTTACCTTCCCACCAGTGTGGTACCTATTTATCTACTTGCACTTTGATGTGCTTTTGAACTGCTAGGTTGGCAGGAGCAGGGACTGAGCAACGGGAGCTCACCCCATTGTGGGGATTCGAACCGCCGACCTTCGGACTGGCAAGTCCTAGGCTCTGTGGTTTAACCCACAGCGCCACCCGCGTCCCTCTTTCCCCTTACTCCTTGACAAAGCCCACTCCCCCTTATTCACTCCCCACACCCTCATGTCCCTAGGCCCTGGGGAATGTTTCCCACAATCGCCTTCCAGCCTTTTTTCGCCCTGCCACTTGTCTCTATATATTTAATCAAACATATGACTCAAGATTCACATGATTTCCAGAGCCGGAGCAAGTGGCGTCTGAGTCAGAGGACAGGCTGCATGCCGGCTGGTTTACCAGGAGGACTAAATGATGCAAGGATGCTGGGGGGTGGGGTGGGGGCTGCTCTCGCTCTCTCACCCTCCTCCGCTGCAGCTTAAAACTCATCCTCGTCTCATCTCTCTTCATTAAATTTCTCATTACTCAGCATTTGACACTGCGCAGCCCTGATACATCAGGCGATTATAGACTGCAGGCATCTCCTCACTGACTTCCCCAGGGAATGCACCCCCCCTCCCAAACCAGCAGGCGAGAGAAGGGAAGGCTGCCTCCAATGCTTGCCCTACTCAGAGTAAGCACGCTGAAATTGATGGCTCTCACTTAGTTTTACTTATTTCAACGGGTCAGCGCCAAGTAAAACTTTGTGGGTGGCAACCCAGAGTTTTCTAAGTTCCCAAGGTCCATGACTGCAGATGCTTCTCTGGTCAGACCTCCACAGGAACAATGTAGTGTAGTGGTTAGAGTGTCAGACTAGGACAAGTATGCTCGGTCTTTTGTGTGCTTCAGGGGTGTTTACATATGGGGAGGAAAGGGTTAAAAGCTCCAGCCAAAAACAGCCCCATCTGCTGCATTTAGGTTTAACATCCCCTGTCACACACACACACACCCCTGTTCCAATAGGAGGCTGTTTTTAAGCCTTATTGCAGCTGCCATTGACAAAGGGTTGTATTGAGAGAGTAGGCGCATTCAAATTTATGAGCCTAAGTTTGTAAGGCCCATTGATTCACTGTGGCTCTCAACCTAACCTACCTCACAAGGTTGTTGTGGGGATTAAGTGAGGGGCGGGAGAAATACGTACACCGCCATAAATGTCCACCGGCAGCAGTCACTCTCCAGGGTTTCGAACCTGGAACATTCCTCTCCTACCTCTATGCCTACAGAACCTCTGGAGCAGCCTTTCTCAACCATGGATCCCCAGATTTTGTTGGACTACAACTCCCATCATCCCTGACCACTGCTAGCTAGGGATGATGGGTGTTGCAGTCCAACAACACCTGCAGATCTAAGGTTGAGAAAGGCTGCTTTAGTGTGTTAATATCAGCAGAGAGGACTCCTATTCTGCCATCCTCAGAAGGGCTGGGTACGGTTGTTTGGGAAAGGGCTCTCTCTGTGGCAGCCACTAAGCTGCTTGTCTAGCATATTCATTGCATAGCTTTCCCTGACTCATACAAAATCTAACTGTGCAATGCATTAACTTGCAGGTTGAGACCTAAGCATGCCTACTCGGATGCAAGCCTTAGAGATCCATAGGGATTCTAAAGAAGCATGCAGAGCAGAGGTTGAGAACCTGTGTGGTCCTCCAGAATGGTCTCATTGGACTCCAACTCCCATCGGTCCCAATAGCCAAGGAGGATGGGAGTTGGAGTCCAGCGGCATCTGGAAGGCCACAGACTCCCCAGCATAGGAAAAAGATCTTCTTCTGAAGATCACAGGAGGTCTAGCATGAGTGGCAGAGCCCAGGTTCAATCGCCATATCCAGAAATGATTAGGAAAAGTGACGTGCTCGGAGCTGTCCTAGGTACTGAAACTCGAACTCCCGAACACAGAACAGGGTCGTGCAGGCATTCGTGGCCCTCCAGGTTGAACTCTAACTTCCATAGAAAGCGCGTGTGGTGTAGTGGTTAGAATGCCAGACTAGGACTCGACCTGGGAGACCAGAGTTCAAATCCCCATTCGGCCATGAGGCTCACTAGGTGACTTTGGGCCAGTCACTGTCTCTCAGCCTCAGTACGTCACAGGGTTGTGGCGGAGATTAAATGTGGGGGGAAGGATTGTTCAACTGCCCTGAGCTCCTTGGAAAAAAAGGTGGGATAGAAAAGCAATAAATAAAATAATGAATCAGCCCCAGTAAGGGATGATGGGAATTGTAGTTCGGCAACATCTGTATGACCACAGCCACTGTCGAAAAGCATTTTACCTCTACTATACAAAGACCCGTCGTCGTCCCCCCCGCTTTCTCCCCCTTCTTCTCCCCCTTTCCCCCTCCACGCCGAGGGCTCCTCCTCCTCCCTCCCGCTCAAAAGGCCATACCATTGCGCCCGTCCTCGCAGGGGGAGGCGAGGGTCGTGCGTAAATGAAATACACCCCCTCCTCCATCCCACTTACGCGCGAAGCTCTCCAATTTGGAGAAGCTGGAGGCGAGCCGGGCGCAGGAGGCGCACAATTCGGGAAGGGGTTCGGAGCCCCTTCTGCCTCCCCTCCTGCAGGCGAGGCGTTGGTAGAGGCCAGGGTTCTCGGAAGCCGAGCAGCCGAGGCGGAGTATAAAAAGCTGCGACAAGAGCCGGTGGAAGCTTGTGAGCTGGGCGCTGCTTCCCGGCGTGGCGCTTGGAGAGAGGAGCGCGGGTGGGTGGCTGCCTGACTTGCCTACGCGCGCCCTGGCCGTGCTGGGGGAAGGCGCCTTTGTCCCGTGGTGTCTCCCCACCTCTCCTTTGCATGAGGGAGTGGTCCCTTGAGCGCCCTCACACCAGCACTAAAGAGGTAGCGGTCTCTGGTCGTGCTCTGCAACGGAGTGCCTTCAGATTTATTATAATTACTTTGTGGGAGGTGGGTGCTTTTTTATTTGTTGCCCGCTTCTGTGCCAGCGATTGTAGTGGAGATCGGTTTGCTGGTGGGGATTGAGAGGCAGATTTCCCTGGCTGAATTTATGCCCTATGTATTTTTGGGGGGCGGGGGCGGCAGGCTAGGCTATATACCTGTTCCTAGAGAGTGAGCAAGCTTCCTGTATTTTAGCTGGGGAGAGAGAAGGGGTGTTTGTGTGTGCCCATTAGTGGTATGCATTGATACCCAAGTGCTAACTGGCTTCCTAAGTCTTCGCAGCTGGAGGGCGGGTGGTTTATCCTGAGTCTGCATTGGAGGTTATTATTATTTTGAATTCTTACTCGCAATGCAATATAAGGAACCTTCAAGCGACTTACAAAAATTCAAAAGCATAATATAAAATCAGAGGTCTTGCCTCAAATCTGTGGCCAAGGGTTTTTTGTCATTGTCTACGGGTTGTTTTTTGGGGGGGTGTCAATGTGTTTTCTACACTGTAGCTATGCTGGGAGTGGAGAATTATAGCCTAATGCTTGTGAGGCATTAAGGTTATCCTGCTTTCTGTGATTCTAAGTGTCCCCATACTTTAAAAAGGAGTGTTTTGCTTGCTAAGGGTTTTGTTTGTTTATTAGTGAGGTGTGCCTTCTGGGATCCCCTTGAGATTTGCCTAGAGATTAAATTTTTCTGGCACCTTGACCCTGCTCTAGAGGGAGGGAGGAGGCTGGTGCCCTGATCCTGGCTCAAAACAGTGTTGTGGTGTGTGTGCTTTGTGGGAGGTTGTTTGCGGCACCCCCCCCCCACTACCCCAGCTTCTGCTGAGAAGAGAAGTTTTTCCCTTGCCATCTTCTGCCAGCTTCAGCTAAACAAAAGTGATCCTGTGTCCAACCAAGAGGTAGGAATCAAACTTGATATTTAAAAAACAACAACTTTTGGGAGTAAAGCGAGAGGTGGAGGAAAAATGAAGATGCGTGAAACAGCACTGGTGGGGAGAGGGTGTCCCAAGGGAGGCAAAGGACCACTAATTCAAAGCTTTCAGTAACATGAAGAACGGCACTCCTCAATTAGAAGCTCATTAAATGGGGGGGGGTCACTTCCCCAGTTCCTAATAGGGCTCTCCTGCAGAAGAAGACCATAGCTCAGTGGTAGAGCATCTGCTTTGCATGCAGAAGGTTGCAGGTTCAATCCCTGGAATCTCCAGGTAGCGCTGAGATTGTCCCCTCTCTGAAAACCTGGAGAGCCATGGCCAGTCAGGGCAGACAGTCCTGAGCTAAATGGACCAGTGGTCTGATCTGTTGTACTTCCTATGTGCCGACGCCGGGTAAAAGCTCTCACCTGCTTGCTTTATTTAAAGACTCTGAACCGAGCAAATATGTTTTATGAAGTGTGGACGTTTCACTGGCATATGTTTGATGATGTGGAGCCTGGCTAGCAGATCGCTGTTGCCTTCACCTTCTGCTTATAGTCTTCCCAGAAGCGTCTGGTTGGTAGCTGTGGAAAGCGGGGAGGATATAAAGAGATAGGTGGCAAGGTAGCCTGATCCAGCCATGGCTCAGGGGGAGAGGAACCGCTCTGCGTGCAGGATGTCCCCAGGTTTGATCCCTGGCATCTCCAGTTAGTTCTGGAGAAAAGTTTGAAATTGGTCCTGGAGTGAGCAGTGCAGAGCTTAATGGACCATTGGGTCTCATTCATTTTTATTATTATTATTATTATTATTATTATTATTATGTATACCACTGATATGCCAAGAGTACATAAGGCAGCCTCTTTTGTTTCTGAGTCGATGAGGACTAGAACCTTGTGTTATTTTGAAGGAAAAGGGTCTGAGCTCAGTGTTAGGAAAACACGTTTTGCATGTGGGGGGGAGGCCCCAGATTCAGGTTCTGCGCAGGGCTGGGGAGATTACAAAAAAGGCTGGAGAGCTTCTGCTGGTCAGTATTGACAGCATGGAACTAGAATCATAGGACTGTAGAGTTGGAAGGGACCCCAAGGGCCATCTAGTCCAACCCCCTGAAATGCAGGGATCTCAGCTAAAGCATCCATGACAGGTGGCCATCCAACCTCTGCTTAAAAACCACCAAGGAAGGAGAGTCCACCGTCTCCTGAGGGAGTCCTTTCCACTGTCAAACAGCTCTTACTAGATGGGCTAATTGTCTTGACTTGAGATAAGGCAGCATCCCTTGGGTGACAGTGGGATTAGTTGTGGTTTCCCTTTCCACCCCAGCTCGCTCTAGACATCGTCCTGCTTGGGTGTCTGGCTATGTTTGTGGTTTCCCACAGAGAAAGTGGAGTGGCAGGTGATGTGCAAGTTGTACGAACACAGAAAGCTGCCTGAAACCCTTGGAGAGCTGTTGCCAGTCAGTGTAGACAATACCAAGCTCTTTGGACCAGTGGTCTGATTCTGTATCAGGCAGCTAGCTTCATTTGTCCCTGTCCAAGTAATCCCATCAGAACCATGATGACTAGAATCTTATTTTCTTTCCGGTGGGGATCTCAGCAGTAGATCACCTGCTTTGCACGCAAAAGCTCACAGGTTCCGTCCTTCACTAGGGCTGGGGAAGCCCCTGTCGGAACCCTGGAGTGCTGCTGCCAATCAGTGTGGACAGTACTGAGCTAGGTGGGACAGTGGTTTGATTTCGGTATAAGCTTCCCATGCTCTGTGTGGCAGCCATTCACCCATTTGAAAGCTACTGTTGGGTCTCCCCTTATCTTCCCTGCCATCGGAATCAAACTCGGCTAGCTTGCAGGAGTGTGTGTTTGTGTGCAACAAGAATTGACCGTCTGGCCCATAAAGGCATTAAGATCAAGAAATGCAACCCAGTTACGTTTGCCAGTGCCTGGTGATTATCAGCTTGCAGTAACTTGAAAGCGGCCTTTTTTCCCTAGTAGTGCCAGTGTTGTGGAATGCCCTCACCGTTGAAATATGAGCGGCCCCATCAGTGCCAGCGTGCTGCAAGGATACACCTGCTTTGACAAACCTTTCTCTGATCTGGTTTGAGTCTCCTGCTCTGATTGTTGTTTTGTTATTCTGTGTTCATAGGCTCGCCTATTACATCTTTTAATTACGGGTGTTGCAATGCAGCTGTTTATGTTCAATAAGATCTCTTTCAATTATGGGTAGTTCTATTTGCAACTTGATTTTTATTCTTGTTATCTTGCTGCCGGCTTTTATCGGTTCCACGACCCACTTGGTATTCCTTCTTGAAAGGAAAGGTGTTGTGTGTGTTCTTCTCAGTTATCCTAATGAGCTCAGCATTGCAAATCTAACCACAGGTCCTTCACCCACAACACCTACCCATGTATGTTCCTGCGCTCCCAGTTTAGAGCTTCCTAAAAGCTGTAACCGTAGGATCAGCCCCAATATCCCCTTTCTTCATTATGAAAATTCTCCCGTCTGGTTTTTCCTCCCGAAGCCTGTGCTTAATTACTCACCTTGGCCACCTCCCCGTTACGAGCCTGCATAAATTATACGGCAAATACCTGTGATTAAAAAGTGATCACCTCTGCTAATGTTGGAAGACTCGGGATGGATAAGAGAAAGTCCTCCTTCACACAGCGGATATTTAAGCTGTGGTACATGCTCCCATGAGAAGCAGGGATAGCTGCCAACTTGGATGGCTTTAAGAGAGGATTAGACAAATTCCTGGAGGATTTATTTAGAAATATATGTATTTATTTATAGTTCATAACTATAAATAGTTCATAAGTGGAAATAAAATTCCACGGGGGTTGGGGGTGGGAAGGAAAGTCCCGGGGAGGAAATTCCCTAGAAAATTCCCTGTATCACTGACTCTGGGGCGGAATTTGCTGGTTGAGAGGTTGCCCTACTTAAAGCGAAATATGTGTAACTTGTTTTTTCTTGGTTATGTGGAAAGGAGCGCACATCAGGACTCCAGTGCTGTCCTCTCTCACTGCCTCTGTCAACCCTTCTCCACCCCCCCCCCGTAAGAATTCTAGTTTTTCAGTCTATCCATTTGTATTCCTCCGCTTCCGAGGCAGAAAGCCAGATTTGATGACAAGCTTCCCGGTATGATAAAAGATGAAGAAAATCAATCTCCCTTTTCTCACTCTCATTCTGTTTCTCCCAGCCTTTTCTAGGCAATAGTGACTTCAGTTGCTAGGCTTCCATCTAGGTTTGTGCTATTATTTATTTAAATATGGCGTAATCATCAGCATGTCTCAGCTGCGCCCGTAAATATGAACCCTGCAGAGAATAAAAAGGAAATAAAAAGTCGCGGTAAAACCAGACACTACTTTAAAATGCCTGCTGGAATGAGAAAGCCTTTGTTGCGCGCCGAAAGCTAAGCATTAGAAAGTGCCTGTCTAATCTCAAGTGGGAGGGAGTTCCACAGGCTTGAGCCCAATACACTGAATGCATGGCTTCTGGTAGTTGCAAGTCGTGCGGCTGACCCACAGGGGGGCAGAAACGGAGACCCCAGCTACATTACACCATACATTTAAAGTGCTATGATGACACTTTAAACAGGCACGTCTCCCCAAAAAGCATTCTGGGAACTGTTGTTTGTTAGGGGTACTGAGAGTTGTTAAGAGACTCCCTGTTCCCTCCCCTGAGCTACAATTCCCAGACCAGTTTAATGAACAATCCCATCCAGAATGTTGTTTATAAGGCCCTGTCTGCACCATGCATTTAAACCACTACCATACCTATTTAAACAGTCATGACTTCTCCCCACCCCTCCAAACCACCCTGGGAACTGTAGTTTGTAAAGGGTCCTGAGGGTTGTTGTTGTTTAGTCATTTAGTCATGTCTGACTCTTCATGACCCCCTGGACCAGAGCACGCCAGGCACTCCTATCTTCCACTGCCTCCTGCAGTTTGGTCAGACTCATGTTGGTAGCTTCGAGAACACTGTCCAATGAGGCATTTATTCCTCTCCCAGAGCTACAGTTCCCAGACATCCCTGGGAAGATGGATTAATTGTTAAACCGTTCTGGGAATTCTAGCTCAGGGAATGGGAGGGGTTCTTCCTAGCAGCTCTCAGCACCCTTAACAAATGACAGCACCCAGAATTGTTTGGGGGTAAGGCATGACTGTTTGAAGTGGTATCGTCACACTTAAAATGTGTGGTGTGATTCTGGCCTCATTCAAAGATCTCACTGATGGTTCAAGGATATAAGGGATCAGGTGGTCCTTAAGATATCCAGAATGACCCTTAAAATATGCATGGAGTTTTGGAAAGCAGAGTTTGTGTCTCTCTATTGGCATTTGACCAGGAGGTGGAAGGTGAGCTAGGGAGAAGCTTGACTTCAGATAACTCTGAGCTGCAGAGGGGGAAGAACAAAGCAAGGCTTCGAACAATCTCCTTTGCTTTTGAAGACATGCCCAGAGTACAAATTTAGGAACATAAAAGAAGAACCTTCCTAGATCAAACACGCTCCGTTTCCCCGCTGCCGATCTAGGACCAGCATCTAATTTCCAATGGATGACTCCAGGAGGCTTTGAAGGAAAGCAAGATGAGGATAGCTTTCTCTCCTTTGTCTGGGCAGGATCTGGCCTTCGGGGGTAGGCTGACTCTGAAGGTGAAGGTTCCACGAAGCTGTTAGTTGCGAGCTGTTAAATGAAACCATCCTTGCCGAGTCTGCCCAATCCACAGGGAGCGATTGTGAGATATTATCCAGGTAGATAGCAATAAAAGAGGCAGTGAGGGGCACAAACATGGATGGCTTTAAAAATCATGGAAGAGGGTAAGGCTATCAGTGCCTACCAGCCACAAGGGCTGTGTTGCCTCTCTACCATCGGAGGCAGTGAACTTCTGAATGCCGGTTGCTGAAAACCACAGGTGGGGTTTACCCCATTTTGCTTTCCCCCCCTGCTTTCTAGGTACAGGTCTGCCCTTTAAAGCACCTTCTCCGAGCACTTTTTTTGCCCCAGTGCTTTCCCTGTGAAAACCTGCTCTTCGCTGCCGAATCGGAGCAAATGACAATTCAGGGATTGCTGTTTGGTCCGATTCAGCAGCAAAGAGTGGATTTTGGCAGGGAAAACACAAGAGTGGAAAATGCTTCAACTGAATGTTCAGACAGAGAGCTTTGAAGTGCAGACCTCTGCCTAGACATGTGACACAAATTGAAGTCTGGATGAGCTCCAACTGTGGCACTAAGGTCTTGCTTGTGGGCTTCCCATTGGGGCAGCTGGTTGACCACTGAGAGACCAGGAAGCTGGACTAGATGGGCCTCTGGCTT